GCTAGTGGGAATGCAAACTGGCAAAACCCTTCTGAAAGGGGATTGGCAATATCAAACAAAGTTACAAATACAGTTAGCACTGCCTTCCCATTTCTAGGATTATTTGTTGATGCATGTGTATAATTTCAAAACAATGTAAACAACTAAAAGCACATACACAAGAGAATGATTGAAAAAATTAAGGTATATCCACAAAATGGAGTACTATGCAGCTAATAAAGAAGAATGAGAACGATCTCTATAAACTTATATGGAGTGATTTATAAGATGTATATGTAAGTTTAAAAAGGAAAGTGTAAAATGTCACGCTATATTTACATAAGAAGGGATAAAAGAAAATATACATGCATCTGCTAATTTGCAGAAAGAAATTTTAAAAAATAAACTAAATACTAATGAGATTGGTGAGTAGAATCTGGATGGAAAGAATGAGGACATGGGGACAGGTTAAAGGCTCAAGGAGGTATACTTGGAGTACATTTTTTTCTATAGTACTGACTTTTAGTACTATAACATTTGACAAACCAACAGGAAATACAAGCAGTAATATATGAGCCCTACTAAAATAAAAATGAATAATATAACCACACTGAATAGTTCTAGATGGAAAAATACTAACCTAAATAATTTTGAAGAAAATTATTTTGACCTCATACTGGAAGGCTAAAGACAAAAATTACTGAACACAAACATTGTTCTCTAGTTCATATATTTGCTTTTTACAGAGGCAGGGTTAGTTATTCTAAAAATAATTTACATATATTCTAGGATTGAGCAAATAAGTATATATATTGTGAACAATAGAGGAAAAAGGAAAAAGGATCAGAGGTTTGAAATGGGCTGTACGGTAGAGTAGGAAATGGTGCAAAAGCCATTGGACAGCAGAGGTCTATGACCTACCCAAAGATCCACAAAACCCTGCTCTGGAACCTTTAGCTTCAATGACTCAAAAGAGTAACATGACAGGAGAAAGCTGTTCCAGGAGAACAGGGACTGAGGGAAGGTAGTTATGTAGTTTTTTCTTTTGTAAGGGCTTGATTCTGGGTCACAGTACTGGTTGGACCTCTGAAATTTTCCTCCCCTTGGTATACCCCCTTTAAAAAGATAGCAGGACCACAGCTAAGGAACACCAAACCTTGTTCTTTGCAGGAGGTTGCAAAGTAAGGACACTCCTAAAGGAAGAGCAACAACAGGAATAGGAAGAGACACAATCAAACGGCAGTTGTCATCATATAATACTCAGGGATGGGAGCAACTGTCCTTCTAGTATGCATGCCTTCCAATTTCTGGCAGGGTTAGTTATTCTACTGGGGAGAAATATAACACTGTCCAAACTGGCATAGCTTTGAGGTCTGGCCAAACGACTGTGTCTCAGACAAAGATTTGGGTTCCAGGGAATGCAAATGAGAGACAGAGGTATGGGATCACTAGCTATTTCACTTGGGCCATGACAATGACAATCCAAATTATTTACTTTGCCTCCCTCCCTGCCCTTTCTTCTATGAAATCAAATGGTCAGGGATAAGATTTGAACTGATTTTTCTTTCAAAACTTCCCAGGTAGGATGCTTGAGAATGGGCCATTCCCATATTAAACTACATGTCATCTTATTGCTAATAGTAACTATACTTCAAGGGATGCATCTTTATTAGTAGATACTCATCCCTAGGAATCTAATGATGTTCAGACAATTGGAAGAAAAAGCAGATGTGGCCTATGACCTATCTGCTCATACAATAAAAATGGTATATTATTAATTTGAAGCAAAATAAAGGATTATTTGTCAAGAACCTCCCTATTTATACACTTCAAACTAGGAAACTGGGCTTGGACATGCTTTTTATTCAGGATGACTGGGTATTCAGAGGGTGATCTGGAGTCTCTTGCAACTCTCGGCACTTGCTCAGGGCTAAAGGGAATCTTGACTTTACATGGCATTCTTTCACATCTAGCCTATACTTCAAAGAATTTTGAGCATATGATTTATAGCCTATCTTTAAAATCAGGTCTTGTGAAGATAAAAAGAATGAGCTCTTAACCACTTCACAATTTCAGAGCAGAATAGAACCCTCCTCAGATACTATACCCAAATGTGGACATTTCCCAAATATGTTAAAAAGTCATTGTTGTTGACAATAAGTGATTCAAAAGAATAGTGTTACCAAGACAATAGGATATAACGGATACCCATGCCCTGGTCAACAGGTACATGAAGGAGCTAAATGTGAAAGCAGTATTTACTAGAGTAGACATATGGACAGAGAAAAACCTAATGAACACCTCCCTGACTGTTCAGGGAGTACTTCAAATTTTTCATTTCTGGAGAGACTAGCATATTTTGAAAAGACTGAAGCATGATGATGATTATTGGCCAAAGTCTTGGGAAGTACCAGGGCCATTCATTTCTCAGAGATATCTGCACTACTTAGAATGCAACAAGTTTTGAATCTTTCTCTCATGAAGATATGCCACATTACGCAACTCTCATGGCTCACGAGCGTAGCCACAACTTGAGAATGAAGCATGAACATGTGGCCTGCAAATGTCATGGCCAGACATTTTATACATAAACTTATTACTGTAAATATGGGCCTCAGCAACTGCATTTTTTAGGTTTATGTAACAGCTTCCACTACTTCCACCAGCTGTTACATAAGCACAGAAGGGACTGCCTATTTCATAAACCTTAGTTCCAAAGTTCCTTTGGAAACTCATATAGTGGGAATAAAAGAGTGGAAAAAGAAGAAGAATGTGATTATGGCAGTGTCCTTGATTGTCAAAAGAATCACTGTTGCCGAAACCGGTTTGGCTCAGTGGATAGAGCGTCGGCCTGCGGACTGAAGGGTCCCAG